ATAACTTTTGCCGACCTCACGATGAGATGAAGCTATCTACGAAGTTTCAGGATGTTAATAATTTATTAAAAAGATGTCTGTACCACGGACTGATAATTAGTTAGACTGTGAATGAACATTGTATTTTTATTTTAAGTTAGTGTAAACTATGAGATGAAAAATATTTTTCAGTTTTTTAACCTTACTTATTTTTAGCTAGAAAAGTTATAGAAAAATCTCTATATCATGAAGGCCATCCTTTCGTGTTCCTTCAAATCTAATTGTTTGGTTCAGATATTTTTAAGTATATCCATATGCACATAAAAATGTTCTATAATTTTCAAATAAATATATAAATTTAAGTATTCAATATTATATTTGATCATTTTACAATAATTATGCTGAAATTCAGCACATGATAAGAACAGCTGCCATTCATTTTTTTTTTTTTTTTAAATCCTTTCCTCAATCGAAATGGAAAATCTGCACCTATGATTGGATATTCATACTTTAAGCAAATTGCTATGTAAGAGTTCTCATTGAGGTATAATAGTAGATCCATATTTTCTATTCATGCCGAAGGATGCTTGAATGAATGAAATGTTTTATTTATATAATAGATCAGGGGTTTACTCCTGTTTTTGTGCGAAAACGGTTCAAATTTCCTCCGTTACGTCGATTGGTGAGGGCAGATCAGAAGATCTAAAAGATAAAACTTAATCCATACGGGCTGTCGGTTTCTCCAACAGTTAGTCGGACGCGACAGATGCTCCCAGATGCTACGAGAGCGCCCTCAAGGTAAAAAAGAGATGTTTTGAGCCGACATAAGTATGGCTATTTTTGCACAATCAGTATAAGCTATATATAAACCTATAACCTATCTATCTATCTATCTATATATATATATATATATATATATATATATATATATATATATATATATATATATATATATATATATATATATATATAAGCTAGCCTATTAAAATACAGTCCACTGCATAAAAGTAGAATGTTGCCTATGAACAACTCATGAGGGCTATTTACCTTGCCTTAATTTGAAAAATTGCCTATAGAACCCCCTTTCCGCCCAACTGCGGATTAACCGCAATTTTACAAATTTTACAACTGTTCATTTAATTATACTAATCATTTCTCAAATTGTATAAGGTTTTTTTTTGTCGTTAAGCCATAATTTCGTCAATTTTTCATCAAATCCAATGATCGACTACTCATTTTAAAGATATTCTTTTGTTTTACATGTGAAAAATAGTCCTACCCCTGCGAAAAATGCTATGAAGAAAAAGAAACGTTATTTGCGAATAACTCAAAAAGTATGCATTTTTTCATTGTACCCATGATAATTATTAAGATTACTAAATTACCTCCAAAACAAAAAAAAAGTCGTAAAAATCGGACAATTATTAACAAAGATCAGGCCATTAGTTTTGGACTTAATAAGTGTGGACTAAATATATGTGTTTCATTGCATTTAGGAGTAGAATAGTCTACTACATTTTTTTTCCTGGCTGATATATTAACTTTGTTATTTCTTAAAGACTTCTTAAAGACTTAAAGACTTAAAGACTGGTTGTTCTTGCCATGATCATAGCATTATTTTGTCTTTATTACTTTTATTGTCTTTTCTGTCAGCGTTTAAAAATAGGTCCTAGCAAAGCAATTTGTAAAAATATTTAGGTCTATTATGTTAATGGAATATTGTATATAATATATAGGAACTACGTATTTCCATGTTGTATTGCTATTTCTTCACTAAACAAAATTTTCTGCGAATTTTTCGCACGGCCCAACTAGTTTATATATATTCAGTATTCAGATTTTATTATTAACACAAAATAAACGGAACGAAACCACGGTGCAGAGGAGCGCCTGAGAATCTAGTATCATGGCAACACTGTTTTGGGGTAACACTTTATAGTGGTAACACTGCTTAGGTGAGGAGGTAAGAGTGTAGATGCAGCATGGACGTTAGACAGAATATGTGTTTGTAAATGGTATACTTTGTGTTAATCTGCTTTTATTGCAAATATTGTGTGTAGTTTGTGATTTAAAATTTCTTTTTTTTTTTTAATGGTTTTTTATATTTGTTGATTTATGTGTTAAATTTATCGTGACAATAAATTCTTAGTTATCGTGATGTACTTAGTCAAAGTGATTATTTTATCTGGACACTCCTTTACACACAGTTCGGATATTGTTTTTAATTTCTTTAAAAATCTTTATAACATCGTGCCCAATGGCGAATTTATATTATTATGTAATTATAATTATTCTTATTGCAAATATGTAACCATATAATAAGGGAGAAATAATTCTGGGAATAATAAGTGTGGTGTCTTCGTTACGGTCCATCCCGATTTGTATATGTAAAATAAAATATGACAGTCACTAAACACTTTTTTTTATATATAATAGAGATAAAACAAAAATTAACATGAAAATTTCTTCTACCAAAAATATGATCCCTTTCCAGGAATCCAGAATATCAAAGAGAATTTTATTCCTATTTCATTTCAAAGCCATGAAAAATAGATAACGAGGTTTGCTTTGTAGATTTTTTTTTTTTTTTACGATTCATACAAACGCATGAGGCCAATTTTCATGATTGTAATATTCTAATATCTGCTCACTTAAGTCTACGAGGGCACTTCTTCGGCTCTCTGAATAAAGTTGGGTAATTACAGCAAAAGGGGAAAGAAAAAAAAAATTAAATTTCCATTGCATTAATTCTACAAAAACTTTCTTGATGAAGATGGGCCAAGTTTCTTGTGCCCAGGTTGTATTTTTTAAAAAGGAGCTGAATTCAATTTTAATAATTATTACAAAACCGAGGCATTTTTATCATGGAATATTTTAACATAAAATAAATTTTATTCAATATATTTATAGAGGTAACAGTGTTGTTATTCACGCATGGATTACCTGTTGTCATGCAATACGGTTCGAAATAACATGGCGCAAAAGTTTTTAAAATATTTACCAACTCAGTTATAATTCTATTTATCTTATCTTTTAAACATCATATAATAAGAACATGGTATTTAAAAGTTTCCTAATCAAAAATGAAAAAAGATGGATAACCAATTTTATTATATAATTTATTTTCGGATTTTAATATTTCATATTGCACTCTTGCTCAATCTCCACTGGTTTTAGCCCTAGTGACGCGGTTAAGAGAGAGGTGCAGGGAACTCCTGGAGTCATACTTTTTCCTCCATAGTTAGAGGAAGAAGTCTGGTTTGGAGTTCTCTCGCCAAATTGTAAATATTGTATATAGGTGTATATGTGTTCTTTTTATTTATTTATTTTTAGGTTATTTTATCATTATTTATGGTATATATATTATTTTTCTGTATAATTTATTTTATTTATTGTACATACAGTATGAATGTGATCTGTGAACTCTATTATTAATGTCCTAGAGACAGATTGTAATATTTTTCAATAAATAAGTTTTTAAAAAATATATATATTTCATATTGATTAAGTTTCACAAATTAAGCAATTACAAAAATGTATTGGATTTCATAAAAAAAGTACTATAAATTGTAGAAAGGAACCTTTTAGAGTTAATAGTGTCTTTTTCATATTCAGTTGTATTTATATATGGTTGTGAGTATAAGAATTGTTATACTTGAGATGTAAATTATTATATAAAAAAAAAAAAATTGAATTTTATTTCACGCTGTGAAATAGATACACCATGTGGAAAAGTAAAAAAAAAAATACTTAAATGATTATTGTAGTTAGGAACCTATAAGAGTTATTAGTGTTTCAATATAATTATTCATCTGCTAATGTAAAAAATATATTCGTTTTCATATTTAGTTGTATTTATATATAGTTATGAGCATAAGAATTGTTATACTTGAGATGTAAATGACTACAAAAAAAAACTTGAATTTTATTTCAAGATACAATGAAATAGATACACCCCGTAGAAAACTGAAAAAAATAAATAAATACTTAAATGATTACAGTAAACAAATAAAACCAGAAATTCTTAAACAAATGTATTTATAATTTAAATTTAAATATGTACAAACACAATAAAATTTAAATATTAAATTTTGATTACTTAAAAAAATTAGGTAAAAATGATACACCTCAATTCTTATATAGCGCCAAAGCCGTTAGGAGTCACGAAGCTCCTTTTAGAAGATTAACGGCCTTCAGCTCTAAGACACAAGACCGTCTTGGGAGTTCTACAAGTTCAACGGCCTCTCGTTTGTACCGCCAAGACCGTCGGGAATCACGGGGATAATTTTTCAACTTCAAGCTGCCTAACGTCCTTAGCGCCAAGGCCGTCGAGAATCGCGGGGATAGTTCTTTAACTTCAAACTGCCTACCGCGCATAGCGCCAAGGCCGTTGGGAGTCACGGGACTAGTTTTTCAACTTCAATCTGCCTAATGTCCTTAGCGCCAAGGCCGTAGGGGATCACGGGGATAGTTTTTCAACTTCATTCTGCCTAAGGTCCTTAGCGCCAAGGCCGTCGGGAATCACGGGGATAGTTTTTCAACTTCACAAACTGACTACCGTCCTTAGCGCCAAGGCCGTAGGGGATCACGGGGATAGTTTTTCAACTTCAATCTGCCTAAGGTCCTAAGCGCCAAGGCCGTCGGGAATCACGGGGATAGTTTTTCAACTTCACAAACTGACTACCGCCTACAAACTGTCTACCTTAGACTCAAGGACGTCTTGTGAGTTCCACAAGATCAAGGATCTCTCGACTTCTCCTCTGTAGCGCCAGGCCGTTGGAAATCGCAGAGCTCTTTTTCTAGGTCAAGGACGTTCCGTCTTTAGCGCCAAGGCCGTTGGAATCACTGGACCCGTCTTTCTAGGTCAAGGATGATTCTCCTTTAGCGGCAAGGCCGTTGGAAATCGCAGAGCTCTTTTTCTAGGTCAAGGACGTTGGAAATCGCGGGGCTCGTTTTCAAGGTCAGGGACGTTCTGTATATAAGCGCCAAGGCCGTTGGAATTACTAGGCCCGTTTTTCTAGGTCAAGGACGTTGGAATCACTAGGCCCTTTTTTCTAGGTCAAGGACGTTCCGTCTTTAGCGCCAAGGCCGTTGGAATCCTTGGGCCCGTTTTTCTAGGTCAAGGACGTTTCGCCTTTAGCGGCAAGGCCGTTGGAAATCGCGGAGCTCGTTTTCTAGGTCAAGGACGTTCCGTCTTTAGCGCCAAGGCCGTTGGAATCACTGGGCCCGTTTATCTAGGTCAAGGACGTTTCTCCTTTAGCAGCAAGGCCGTTGGAAATCGCGGATCTCGTTTTCTAGGTCAAGGACGTTCCGTCTTTAGCGCCAAGGCCGTTGGAATCACTGGGCCCGTTTATCTAGGTCAAGGACGTTTCGCCTTTAGCAGCAAGGCCGTTGGAAATCGCGGATCTCGTTTTCTAGGTCAAGGACGTTCCGTCTTTAGCGCCAAGGCCGTTGGAATCACTGGGCCCGTTTATCTAGGTCAAGGACGTTTCGCCTTTAGCAGCAAGGCCGTTGGAAATCGCGGATCTCGTTTTCTAGGTCAAGGACGTTCCGTCTTTAGCGCCAAGGCCGTTGGAATCACTGGGCCCGTTTATCTAGGTCAAGGACGTTTCGCCTTTAGCAGCAAGGCCGTTGGAAATCGCGGATCTCGTTTTCTAGGTCAAGGACGTTCCGTCTTGAGCGCCAAGGCCGTTGGAATCACTGGGCCCGTTTATCTAGGTCAAGGACGTTTCGCCTTTAGCAGCAAGGCCGTTGGAAATCGCGGATCTCGTTTTCTAGGTCAAGGACGTTCCGTCTTTAGCGCCAAGGCTGTTGGAATCACTGGCCCCGTTTTTCTAGGTCAAGGATGTTTCGCCTTTAGCGGCAAGGTCGTTGGAAATAGCGGAGCTCGTTTTCTAGGTCAAGGACGTTCCGTCTTCAGCGCCAAGGCCGTTGGAATCACTGGGCCTGTTTATCTAGGTCAAGGACGTTTCGCCTTTAGCGGCAAGGCCGTTGGAAATCGCGGATCTCGTTTTCTAGGTCAAGGACGTTCCGTCTTCAGCGCCAAGGCCGTTGGAATCACTGGGCCCGTTTATCTAGGTTAAGGACGTTGGAAATCGCGGAACTCGTTTTCTAGGTCAAGGACGTTTCGCCTTTAGCGGCAAGGCCGTTGGAAATCGCGGAGTTCGTTTTTCAAGGGCAAGGACGAAAGGAAGAAATGGAGGTGCTTTTTATGGTCCACGGTCTCTACTTTTGGGAGTTCTACAAGGATTCCTGTCCTTAGAGCCAATGCCGTTTACGTTAATACATGTCCTTTTTAAGACTCAAGGCCGTTACTGAGTACAGATCTTAGTCTACATGGTCGGACAGACGTTCACAGCAACCTTCTAAGTAAAGCTTATTCTCCACTCAACACTTTAATATCAATTAAGTTTTTTTTCCCCTAAGTGAACCTTAATCGGTTCTTTTGGAAGCAGAGATAAGTATCGGTTTTTTACGTAAAAATGCGGAATGAATTTGACGTAGGAAATGTTTTTTTTTCTTAAAAGAATGAACCTCAGAGAGAAATACTTTATTTTCTTCAAAACGTGCTAGCCAATTATATTGAGTTGCTACAAATATACAGTATTGAGCATAGTATACAATATTTTTTTATCTGTATATGTATCTTTTTTTGACAATTCCAATGATAACAATATGATTCTTATAAAAAAATATAACAAAATAAGTTCATTTCTTTAACATTTTATTTTTTTTTTTTTTTTTGTTTTGTTTTTTCCATGAAATGTTATGGAATCAGATTTTGTTAAATCATCTTAAAAAATAATTGATTAAATATTTTTTTAACCGGTTTATTCAAATGAAAATTAACGATAAATTAGTTAATTGTTTATAGTAAAATTTTCATAACTTCCTCTCCCACTAGACTTTAGTTACGTGTATAATTTACAAATAAGAAACTACCGTTTTGATTTTATGATTAGTTGGATAATCCTTACTGAAAGATTCGTGTAATTCATGGAAGTTAAATGATAACATATTATTATTATTATTATTTTATTTTATTTATGTAAAAATCCAAACTACAAAGTCATAAGTATCCATCATAAAAGTGAATAGTTAATTTGCCAACGTTTCACCAATTCGGACATCATCGGAATACAAAAACCAAGATCACTCATAGGCATAAAGGAAAAAAAACAAAAAAAAAAACGCGTATTGCATTAGATGCTATAATCGATTCTCTTCTTACGCTACAAAACTTGAAATATGATATAAATATTAGGCAAAATCTAGTTCAAACGTTGTTTATAATTAATGTAAATACTATAATATAAATAAGTGAAAAACTCACCAAGAGATGAAACATAAATGCTAGCTTATAATTTAAAAAAAAAATTCCAAACACTCAACCTTATATCTCCAAAATAAAAGCAAAAAATGTTGACGTTTAGCCAAGTCAGTCATCATCACTCCATGACACTCAATCGCATACTGGATGGGGAAGGTAAGATAACAGCTGAGGAAGGTTATGATCAAACAGCTGTTTTTCGATTTGATTTTCTTTTCTGTCCTGTTGATGTTTTTTTTTTGCTTAATTTTTTTTCAGCATTTCGCAGATATCAGGCTATGTGATTAGAATTTTTCCAATTATAATCAAACAGTCGATTATAATATTAAATTCATGTAATTCATGGAAGTTAGATGATAACATATTATTATTATTATTTTATTTTATTTATGTAAAAATCCAAACTACAAAGTCATAAGTATCCATCATAAAAGTGAATAGTTAATTTGCCAACGTTTCACCAATTCAGACATCATCGGAATACAAAAACCAAGATCACTCATAGGCATAATCCTCTTCTTACGCTACAAAACTTGAAATATAATATAAATATTAGGCAAAATCTAGTTCAAACGTTGTTTATAATTAATGTAAATACTATAATATAAATAAGTGAAAAACTCACCAAGGGATGAAACATAAATGCTAGCTTATAATTTAAAAAAAAATTCCAAACACTCAACCTTATATCTCCAAAATAAAAGCAAAAAATGTTGACGTTTAGCCAAGTCAGTCATCATCACTCCATGACACCCAATTGCATACTGGATGGGGAAGGTAAGATAACAGCTGAGGAAGGTTATGATCAAACAGCTGTTTTTCGATTTGATTTTCTTTTCTGTCCTGTTGATGTTTTTTTTTTGCTTTATTTTTTTTCCAGCATTTTGCAGATATCAGGCTATGTGATTAGAATTTTTCCAATTATAATCAAACAGTCGATTATAATATTAAATAATATTCATGGAAGTTAAATGATAACATATTATTATTATTATTTTATTTTATTTATGTAAAAATCCAAACTACAAAGTCATAAGTATCCATCATAAAAGTGAATAGTAAATTTGCCAACGTTTCACCAATTCAGACATCATCGGCATAAAAAAACCAAGATCACTCATAGGCATAATCCTCTTTTTACGCTAAAAAACTTGATATATGATACAAATATTAAGCAAAACTAGCCCAAACGTTGTTTATAAATAATGTAAATACTATAATATAAATAAATAAAAAACTCACCAAGAGATGAAACATAAATGCTAGCTTATAATAGAAAAAAAATTCCAAACACACAGCCTTATATCTCCAAAATAAAAGCAAAGAATAAAAAATGTTGAAGTTTAGTTGAGAAAAAAGAATCGATCATCACTCCATGACACCCAATCGCATACTGGATGGGGAAAGTAAAGTAACAGCTGAGGAAGGTTATGATCATACAGCTGTTTTTCGATTTCATTTTCTTTTCTATCCTGTTGATTTTTTTTTTGCTCAATTTTTTCCAATATTTCGGATACATGAGGCTGTGTGCTTGGAATTTTTTTAATTCCAGAAAGAAACTCACCAAGAGATGGAACATAAATTCTAGCTTATAATTGAAAAGAAATTCCAAACACTCAACCTTACATCTCCAAAAAATAATAATAAAATGGTGTAGGAAATTAGAAAAATATAAAGTAACATATTCTAAAAATAATGAGATCATGTTTTTGACACTACCAGCAAAGGTGGTGGTGAGTATAAAACTCTAAGCGAAAATTCAAACACTGACAAAGGAATGAGAATCGACTTTTGGGACTACGAAAAATGTGCTATAGGCAATAGACGTATTGCATTAGATCCTTCCTGTTCTTACATTACAAAACTTGAAATATGATACGAATATTAGACAAAACCTAGTCCAAACGTTATTTATAGTAATATAAATAAGTAAAAAAAAACTTACCAAGAGACGGAACAAAATATCCAAACACTCAGTCTTATGTCTCCAAAATAAAAGCGAAGAATAAAAAACCCGTCAACGTTTCGCCAATCCAGTCATCATCAGGACAGAAGAGAAAAATAAATCGAACATCACTCCACGACACCCAATCGCAAACTGGATGGGGAAGGTAATATAACAGCTGATGAAGGTTATGATCAAATAGCTGTTTTTCGATTTGTTTTTCTTTTCTGTCCTTTTTTTTTTCAGCATTTCAGGCTATGTGATTAGAGTTTTTCAGTTATAATCAAACAGTTAATTATAATATTAAATACAACACATCTGATAAACCAATAAACTGTATCTAGTTCCTATAGCTATATTATTACGAATATTCTATATTTATTATCAGCACCTTGAAAAAAAATAATAATTAATTCTGTAGATTACCTTACTCCATGATACATTTTGGTAAATTAAAACTTATGCGTTAGTACTACTTTAAATTATCATATTTTCTTATAACCTGAAAATTTGCTAATGATGACTAGGGTTTACTTTCATATTCAAGAACTGTTCCTAAATATAAACTTCATATAGTTGCTTAATATAAAATGAAAATTCTACAGCACTTCTACAGTTGAGGGAGTCTGCTAGAGAAGTTGTAATGTCATTGTTTAAATGCATGGAGTGCCAACACAATCCGCAACAGGTTTCTACTATTTCACACGGAGCCATTACGTAGCGAATTCATTTAACATCTGAATCTGTTTTCGTTTTCTGTTAAATATCGTAAGTGTTTCAATGATACCATTAATTGGTAATTCATATCAGTGTGTAAACTAGTCTAGGTATTAGAATATAAAAATATATATATTTTTTTTCTTTTATTGAAATTTTTTTATAATGTTATGGTAACATAGATAGATAGATAATTAACTTAATTCTGAGACTAAATCCCTTAAGAATAACAAAATATTACAGAACAAAATAATACTTCTGTCCAAGAGAACTACATTAAATAACTAAAAAATCTTATGTAAACTAACAAAACATACAAAACAAACTGATGTTTAAAACTTATTTTTTTATTTATTGATATTTACAACTGTATCATAAAAAAAAAAATACAACTAGTAAATGTGCACAATGAATACATCAAGTAAATGTGTACAGAGGAATATTATCACATGAAACACGCTTGTTGAGAAACTACCCATTGGTAGCACTCTAATAATATATTTACATAAGTAGATCACGAGGCCATCATCTTTTCAGACGCCTCGGAGAGTGTTTAAAACTATAAACAATACAAATAAGAAATGAAAGAAAATAATCACTGCTTAACTAACAAATAAAGAAAAATAAATAAAACAGATAGGACCAAAAGCAATAAATAAAAAATTGATTCCTCTAGTAAATGAGCGCTAAGTAAGAATAACTAACGTAAAGTAAAATATAAAGAAATAAAGATTCATATATTCTATTTTAGTAAGAATTAAAAAACATTTATAACAAAAAAAATAAGAAAATGAATAAATTAAACAACTTTAATAGTAGAGTATTCTTTCAAAACAGAAATGATGCTGTATCAAATATATATTTACAAGTTCATAGGTACACGTAAGAATAAAAATATGTGTTTGTATTTAAACACTGGCTATTTATTTATTATTATATCATCTAAAGAATGTTTCTATGTATTTTATATATTTATTTGAAAATATCGTCCTACAACATTCCTTTCTTCTTTTTTTTTTTTTTTTTTTTTTTTTTTGTAAATAGTGCTAAATCTTCCAAAATTGATGTTTTTTTGTAAAGTCTGTTTTGTTAATAAAGTTTTACGGATTCGAAGTTTTTTTTTTCTTTACCTAATTTTCTGTTGGCATAAAATTTCATTCCTGGCCAAGTTTAAAATTTTCCTTTGTTTTACTATCAATTAAACAAAAGAGTGGGGAATGTCGAATTTAAAATATATATATATATATATATATATATATATATATATATA